GGGAAGGAATCATCATATCTTCCAGATATGGAATCCGCGTAGGCGAAGTAACCAGTTGTGTTCTGACACAACTGGTTACGGTGAGATTTGTTTATGACTTTGCCTTGGCATACGGTCTGCCGTATGCCAAGGCAAAGTCATAAACAAATCTCACCGCATAATCGATTAAACGTGAAACGACCCATTCGGCGTGGTGGGCGTTAAATTCGCCAAGGATCACGATCTCTGCGGATGGGACCTTTGTAGCAAGGAATCTGTAGCCATTAGGACGTGGTCGATGAGTCGGTCTGTTTCGGTATTACCGCCATGAGAGTTATAGAGGCACCCGTAGACGCGCGGATGGTCGTCGCTGCCTACGCGTAGCCAAAGGATGGACTGGTCCGAACCTTCAAGACTGCCGAGGCGTCGAGAACAGATGTCCTCTCTGACGTATACGCAAACTCCAGCCCGAGGCACAAAGGAGTGTTCCAATTTATACCCCGGGTAGGGAGATACGAAGTATCAGCCGAAGAGAACACCTGCGTCTCGGTCACAAAGAGCAAGGCCGGCTTCGCCGTCTCTAGATGGTAGTGGACGGCGTTTAGGTTCGAGTGAAGTCCCTGATGTTGCAAAAATTCACGGATAGCGTGGCAGGGGTCGCCTTGGTTTTGTTGCTCAATTTGCGCCAAGCAGTTATCGTTTTGAGCAGAATTTTGGCCCCTACAACTACTACAACTACTGCTTGGTACCAAAAATACGTAAGAGGCTGGTATCAACCCAGAAATGGGCATAAAAGAGTTTTGCCACCTATTATAATATTTCGAGAACGAAACTTTTACTCATGGGATTATTATGGTAATCAGTTTATTCATTTGTACTATTGTATCATTGATTATATATCCACTCCTAATAGTCTACAGCTAAACATGGATCCCATCCATTGTATTAAAGACGGGCAGTTTGATGATTGTAGTGCCAGATGTTGGGAACCTTTTATGATACTCCCCGTCACCGGTGTGGGTGTAGTTTACCGGTTTGAAGGTAGTCAGAGGACACCAATTCGGAAAGGTCAGAAACTCTTAGATTTATTTATTTAAACTTCATACAATATGATGTATAGGGGGACTTAATGCCTGAAGCATTCTCTACCAGTCAACCTTAAGGCATTTTTAGCGATACTTCGTGTACCTATGTTCGGGTACCGGCGAACGCCATCTAAAAGGCGCTCCTCGAAGTGAACAGCCACTTGACTTCCACCTCCTGCCGCTACCGGAGCAATGGGCCGATTTTCCAACACTCACTGATATGCTGCTATTATCAGACGAGAGTCAGCTGGGTGTGGGTATAAACGTACGCGTTAGGCATTATTTAAACAAAAAAAAACAAAAACCGTAACAACATGAATAATAACAACACGTAATAACAAGTAGTACTAAGTAATAACAATACGAATTTAATTTAAACCAAACGATTGAACTGTCGCTCGCGCACGCGTGTATAAATTCAACACGGTACTATCTCAAAAACTAAAATTAATAATGAATCCCGCCAAAACTGAAGCCTATCGTTTTTGTGGTAAATACTTTGAGCATATCCACAGATCGTTAAACCGTAAAACCGACATTTCCAACTTTTATTTTATAAGTTTAGTTTCCATATGATCCCTACGACTAGTCTTCATATGGAATTTAGAAGTTATAGTTGTAATTTTTTATACAATTAGACAATCAATTGTACCCTGACGAAACAAGCAGTTCGTTACTACAAAAATGATATCGAATTTCATAAACGTACCTACTTGGGAACACACTTATCTAATTATAAACACTATTTCATCGTTATCTTTGATTTTGTACAAGAAAATAAAAATGAAATAGTATTGAATAATTTAATAGTTAAAATCATTTGCAATTATGATCGACAGGTAATTAATCTAAAAAAATTATTCTTTTACTTTATTTTAATTGACTTTTCGTTTTTAATCCGTCCAATACTTTGATTTAAAAAGAGGTACGTCAAAACTATTAAAAATTACTTGCAAGTTTTACTGTGATTGCCGCCTCTTATTCTTATGTCACTTGCAAACAAATCTTAGTAGGTAAATTTCGGTGCAACATAGCAGCGTTGCCAACACCAATTTCCCAAATTCCCCGAAAATCCATGTTAAATTCCCCAATTTAAGGATAAAACAACTTCAACAGATTCCCCTCAATTTTATTTTAAGAAATTAAGCAATTTTCAACTAATTTTATAAGATTTATTTTTAACTAACATGTTTTTTCTTTTTACACAATTTTTTTCATACTTTCCAAATTTTTGTAACAAGTATTTTACTCCACGGAGTATTTTTAATTCCATCCCTTGTTGCCATTATAAAGTACCACAGTATCTGAATTTATATGCATACGGTTCTCTGCTTTAAAATAAAAAAAAGAAATGAAAAGTATTAAATGATACACAAAATTTGCCGAAATAATTCCGAAAAATAAATGTGGTGCAATGAAGATATTTAAAAAAAGGGAGTCATTCGATATTCATAAGCAACCTAACAAAAACGTTAAGATAAGTTTATCCATTTTCAAAATCCCCGCATTTTCCCCGCATAATAGCAATCCCTATAAAATCGCCAACCAACTTTAAACACCTCACGATTTGGGGAATTCCCCATATGTTGGCAACGCTGCGCGAGGTGACACGAGTCGGCCGGGTGGCGGCAGCGCCTGTATGAAAGGGAAGGATAGAGTGAATAGTATAATACCTAATGCATTGTTACCGTTGTTGTCCCGAGCTAGATACAAAAGTTTGGCTTATGCGCAGATATTAGTCCCTAGTCAGCTGATTTTATGATTTATTCATTTTAAATTTCACTTTTAGTTTAATGCTTATGTATTTTAATGATTTTCTTAATTAAATTATCATTTTATTTAGCTGTACCAACATGATAGGGCCTGCATAATGGTAATGAAACATTGCGAAAAGATGATTTTTTTCCTCAGGATCGATTTTCTTTCTCACCCATCATCAAAGGTATAGTTAGTACTATCGTCTGTCTTAGTTTTCGGGAGCGTTTCAGAAACACCCGGTAATCTATAAAATATATTACACGTTTCATTTATAAAAATTACAAAACTATTGATGATAATAGTGTTGAAACATCTACGTCTTCTTGCTGAGTAACAAGTCAAAAAACGCACTCGTAGTAATTAGGTCGGTCAATTTTAAACAGGTTCTTTGTCCTTGCAATATTTACCCTCTTAACTATTGTACGATAGATACAATCGTCCAAGTTAATATTCAAGTTGCATTATTATAAAATGCCCTTATACTCTCGAATATGGTCCTTTGAGCCGGATTTGAATCAGCGATCTATGGATATAGTCCGTACACAGTTACAACAGACCAAAACTAGATCTAGAATTTGAAGGCAGACAGAATTTAGTAAGTTGCACTCATAGCATAGTCCTCATTGCAGAATCGCTGGAGGACCTAAGCACTATGCTCAATGAACTCAATAGTGTCTCCCAATGGATAGGTCTTAAGATGAACATGGACAAAACAAAAATCATGTTTAACGTCCATGTCACACCTATGCCGGTAGTTGTTGGGAGCACTAAGCTCGAAGTTGTTGACGAATATATTTACCTGGAACAAATCGATGGCAGCAAAGTAAAAACGGACATATACAAAATCGCAATTTTACAGGAGAACAGATTTAGTAAAAAATTGTGGTCATTTTGAGAGTTATGGACCGATTAACATGTAATTTTCTATGAAGCATTAAAATAGCATTCTTTATGAATTATGTTATAGTTTTTATCGCTATGTCGTTGTTGTACTAAAATAATTCAGATGTCTTTTTTTACTCAAAAAACTTTGAAGTAGAAGAAGACATCTGCCTGTTATCCGTTTATACATTGTGATAAAAAAGCGTCCATTTCATTTAAAATATCTAATAAACTAAGATAATAATCTCCATTAATACTTTTAAGGATATTTAAAGAAAATCTAAGCAACATGCAAACAATATTCCCCTTTTTTTGACGAAATTTTGCAGATGTCTTTATTTACTTTGCATTTAACATTTTATACATTATCAATTAATGAGTTACCTACCAGGCGGACAAATTCAAATGTCCGTTTCTACTGCGATGTTTTTTTTTTAAATCGAGGGTAGGTGTCTTCATTTACGTGCCAGATTTTCTACAATATTTTGAAATTTGAAATAATTTTAATACAGCTTTGGAGATAGGGTTCATTTAAACTCATTTTTGTAAAAAAAGAATTTTTATAAAAATGAAGCTGTACGTTTCTACTTTGCTGTCATCGAAATAGTCCGACTAGCTAAATTCAACTTCGACCGAGAGGTCAATCGACGGATTCAATTCGGCTGGGCAGCGTTCGGGAGATCACCGACAACCAATGGGGAAGAAAGGTTCTCGAGTGGCAGTCTCGTACCGGCAGGTGAAGTGTTGGGCGTCCTCCCGCTAGATGGAGCGACGACTTGGTAAGACATGCAGGAATTTGATGGATGCAGGTGGCTCAGGACCGTGCTTTGTGGCATTCCTTGGAGGAGGTCTATGTTCAGCAGTGAACTTGTGACGAGCTGTAGTAATGATGATGATGATGACTTATAGCAATTATTTTGTCCCATAAGTTTAGCTATTTAACATTTATATAGAATTTTATAGAATACATACCTTTTCTTATAAAACTCTCTTTGTCATTAAATAATCCAGTAAACTTCAGGTTATCGTAATTAATGGCTTTATTTTTTCTGAAATTATCAATTTTAAGGTGTTCGCATAGTTTTTCTATTTGTTCCTCAGTTATCGGTTTGCCCAGGAATTTGGCAACGCGACGTACACAAGAATTATTTTATATATGTATAGTACCTTATCACTATTTTTATATCTCCAGTATAGTATTCAAATAATAAATCTGATTTCTAATGAAATTTTCCCAAATGTTCATATTTATATTTAAAAATGGTAAGGAATGAACGCTGCAATTGAAAAATTACTTCAAGTTTTACATTTCAAACAGTTTACCTTAGAAAGCTCTTCGTAGAACAAAAAGAACATGTTATCATGGTTCCGCATTTGCCACGCTTCTTTAACGTGTTCAAAGAATGGTGTCCAGGGAACTGTAATAATATAATAAAAAAATATGCAATCCAAAACAATGACTTAAAACAGGGAAATTTAATCTATTTCCTCGAGAAAAAAAAATTGAAACAGAGCTTTAAAATGTACTATTTCAGAGCATATAAAGTTTTATTTTATTATTTTATATTTACCTAAATCATTGATAAAGAATTCCCAATAAGTTTTGAAGTCCACGCCGTCTTGGAGGTAATTACAAAATTTGTTATGATGGTAAGATGACACAGCTGCGTCACGAGGGTCCCGAGCTACGTAAAAAACTTTACAAGTGTCCAAAAGCTTGGGTGGTAGAAGAGATAATGGCAGATGTGATTTGATAAATCGAGGGGATGCCATAGACTCAATTTCTTGCACTGGTGGCATGTTTGCCTCTAACGTCTTTATAACCTCTTTATATACATACTCGACATTTCATTATGATACACAAACGCCTCAGTTCTGTTGGATATTTAAAAAAAAATCATTAAATATATAGTCTAAAGTTTTTTTTTACAACATAAAACTTTTAATCAAGTTATCTGTAATAATAATAATAATAATAATAATAAAGATCTACAACTATCGGAGATACATCCTAAGGGATGGCACCGTCGACATTTGTCGAGCTTGTCGCCTTCCCGGTGAATCACTTAGGCATGTCATCTCCGGTTGTTTAGCGCTTTCTAACTGAGTACTTGCATAGGCACAACCTAGTAGCCAGGATTCTACACCAGGAGCTCGCTCTGAAATACGGTCTCGTGGATCGGAAACTGCCTTATTGTAAGTACATGCCGGAAACCGTGCTCAAAAATGACCGCGCCAGGCTCTACTAGAACCGGGCCATCATCACAGACAGGACCATTCTTAATAAGCCTGATATTGTGCTGATTGACCGGGCACAGTCAAGGATATTTTTGGTCGACATTAACATTCCGTATGACGAGGACCTAGTGAAAGCCGAAACAGATAAGCGAACAAAATATCTGGACCTGGCTCACGAGGTGACAGACATGTGGGGTGGACTGCCGGCCGAAATTATACCAGTAGTCGTTTCTGAGAACGGATTAATCCCAGTCAGCCTTTCGGGTCATCTGAGGCGACTCCGTGACGGACCGCTCCAAGCTCAAATGCAGAAGGCGGTGCTCCTCGATACCGCCCGCATCGTCCGCCGGTTTCTTTCCCTTTCCCCCTTAACCTCGGCCGTTTGGTCTCCCCTGCCGAGGGCTTCCATCTGGTTGGGTTTTTATTTATTTATGTACTTTTAAGCATTTATTTTATTTTGTTGATATTTATGTATTTTTATCATTTTCATTTACAATTATATATTTATACAAACCAACCAGTATATTATATAGATGCCCCAAATAATAATAATAATCTTTATTTGCGTAAAACATGGTATAGATGTTGTTCACAGGTAAAAATCGAGCGCTCATGTTTTGCTTATTTTACATAGTATGCAAATGTTTTTAAACAATGTCAAATTTTCTTTAACTATTTTTTTTTAAGTACATTGGTTACCTGATTTAGTTAACAAAGAGAAATAATATTATAATAATTAATTACATGTCAATTTCAATACCTAGTAATAGTCGCATAGCTTAATCAAAGATATATTGTACAATACTATATTTTATTTAATTTTTTTAATAAGTTATCCAGTACATAATCTATTTTTTTTCCAAGAATTGTTTTACAATATAGAAGTTATTTTCATTCAGCCATTTGTACAATTTCTTTTTGAACAATGTAATATTTAGGGTTTTAAGTTCGTCAGGGAGTTTGTTATATATTCGAACACACATGGTAAGGCAACTTTTGTCATATTTTTGTGATTTAGGTATATCCTTAAATACTAGCTTGTGTGGGTCCCTACGTGAGCGAGTAGTCTGTACCTCACAAGCTTTTTCAAATAATTGTTTGTGTTTCTGCACAAAAACACAAACTTCTAAAATATATTGTTGGTAGTGGCAGTATTCCAAGAACTTTAAATAGAGGCTGACACGATTCATCGGGTCGTACTCCGCAGATTGCCCTAATGCACTTTTTCTTGCGTAATAAAAGCCCGATTTCAATCCGAACTATTTCCCCACATCACCAATCCATAACGGAGTATAGACTCGGCATATGCTCGGTAAGTCATAACAGACGTTTTTATGTCAGTCACTTTTTTATTTACTTGAGCGCGTAAGAACATTTGTTTACTTTATTACAAATTTCATCGATATGTGCTTTCCAGTTCAGATTTTGGTCTATGACAACACCTAAAAATTTTTCTTTTTCTATTTGATTGATTTTTGTAATGTTTAGCTTGAAATTGTATTGGTTATGTTTTGACTTATTAAACTGAATAAAATTTGATTTTGTCAAGTTAATTTTTAAATTGTTAGCTTGTAGCCATTCAATTATATTATTAATTGTATTATTTATGTCCAATTCGTGATTATATATTGAATTCTTATTTTTTTAGTCCTAACTATAACCGAAACGTCATCAGCGTATGTGATACATTCATGACTTGTCGCATCAGATATGTCATTAATATATAATATAATATATATATATATATATATATATATATATATATATATATATCAGGTGAAGACATACGGAACTGAGACGTGGTCCTTCACTGATGGCCGGATGAGGAAGCTGAAGGTCGCTCAGCGAGCTATGGAGAGGGCTATGCTCGGAATTCCTCTGAGTGACAAACTCGGAAATGAGGATACCCGCAGTAGAACCAAAGTGACCGACATAGCCCAACGGAGTAGTAAGCTGAAGTGGCAATGGGCCGGCCATATAGCTCAAAGAACCGACAACCGATGGGGAAGTAAGGTTCTCGAGTGGCAGCCTCGTACCGGCAGGCGAAGTGTTGGGCGTCCCCCCACTAGATGGTGTAACGACCTGGTAAGACGTGCAGGAAGTCGATGGATGCAGGTGACTCAGGACCGTGCTTTGTGGCATTCCTTGGGGGAGGCCTATGTTCAGCAGTGGACTTGGTAAGGGTCGTAATGATGATGATGATGATAAACAGTATGGGCCCTAAGATACTGCCTTGTGGAACACCATTAATATTTTCAACGCAGTTGGATTTATATGTTCTTATTTCTTTATTGATTAATTTTGTTATCGTGACACATTGAGTACGATTTGTTAAATACGAAGCAATCCATTGCAACGTAATACCCCTTATTCCCATTTTTTCCTAATTATTTAATAATAGATCGTGTGATAAGAAGTCAAATGCCTTAGTCAAGTCAAAAATAGTCCCGTTGTCAAATAATTATCATTAATATTGGTCAACAATGTATTGATTAGGTGATGAATAGCTAAGTTAGTCGATTTATGTTTTTGAAAGCCATATTGATTTTTATTTATAATGTTAAACTTATTGCAAAATTCTAGGAGCCTTTTATACATACACTTTTCGAATACTTTTGAAAGTATAGGTACAAGGGTAATTGGGCGATAATTGCTAACGACGTTTCTGTTGCCACGTATGTTTATAGGCTTTACAATGGAGGACTTTAATGTTTCTGGAAAGCTTCCTGATGAGAATGACAAATTGACAAGATGAGACAAAATGTCAATTATTTTATCAATGCATGACTTCAATATGTGTGTATTTATGCCATCGTAGCCTACTGAGTTGGTTTTATTTAAGGTCATTACCTCTAATTTTACTTAATTTACTGACATGGGTTTAAGGAACATTGTGTTTAAGTTAAAATTGTTCGTAATATAAGAGCCTTCGCCATTGTTTACATTATTAATACTAATTTTTTCGATGTTTGTAAAGTAATTGTTAAATATTTGGGATATTTTTTCCGGGTTTGCTATGTCGGAGTCGTCAATTTTTAGATAGTCAACAGAAGCTTCGCTTTGTGTTATACCTATTTCATTTTTTTATTATAGACCACGTTGCTTTACATTTATTATTACTGTTTTGAATAAATTTAATGTTTGCAAGTCTCTTAGATTTATTTATACATCTTTTTAGGATATTTGAATATGTAAAATATTTCTGTCTATTGCTTGCCGATTTATGTGTATAATAGTTATATCGGAGTTTTCTCTTTGTGTTACAACTTTTTAGTAAGCCTTTACTAAACCACATGCGATTGTTTTTGAGTTATTAACCTTTACTTTTTTAGTTGGGAAACACAAATCGTAGAACAATTTTAAGTTTGAATGAAAGTTATTGAAAGCTATATTCAAGTTAGGTTCACTATATACTTTAGACCAAGAGAAGCTATTCAAGCATTCCTTAAACTTTTTTATAGTTTCTAAAGAATGGTTTTTTTTGAATGAGTAGTAGGATTTTTCTGTTTTAGGAATATTTTTTTGGATCGGAATACTCAGTAGTTGCGCTGTTTCATGATCCGACAGACAGAGAGGCAGTACATGAGCAGTAGCGTCTTTCAGGTTACTAAGGATGTGATCTATATACGATTCTTTCAGAGTTGGAACATCGATATGGAGTTTCAAATTATAGTTATTGTAAAGATCTTTTAAGTGGCATGTTAGGCTGCCAGGTTTCAAGGTATTTATATTAAAATCACCTACTACGAGTATAACAATGTTGTAATTTGGTTTTACTTTTTTTGATAAATCATGTAGTAAATATCTCAATTTCTTTAGAAATATGGTAGGGTCAGAGGAAGGGGTTCTGTAAATACAATGTATAAATCTAGATTTAAAGTATTTTGTATTTAGTGCAGGAATTTGAAAAAGCGTATCGCAACTTTGGTGCTGTATTACCGTCGGTCTAAATATATTGTCTTTTGATTGCCGTCAGGATCGTTCTGGCATTTCCAGTAGTCACCTTTTACGACACCCATAGAACAAAAAATTAGGTGAAATATATTATTATGCCTTCACCACGGCTATACACCTCTATGAGTTAGGAATATACTAAGTTTCAATCAATCTTTATATATATATAATAATAATGATAAGTGTAACTTTATTGTTCACTATAACAATTTAAAATAAAAAAGGAAAAAAGCCTATTAAATAAAAAATGTATTATCGTTAGTATATTTTCAAACACTTACTCTAAAAAAGGATATCTTACGGTGAGCGGGGTTTCCAATGCCTTTTCATAATCAAAGTTGTTTAAAATAAGCCAAACCAATTCCTGCGTCCACGTGGTACCTGTAATTGATGTTTATTAGAATTCGTACAAATTTTACATATACTCTTAATGCATGATTTATATTGAAAACTGGCGATCCTCTCAGAGTGGTTTCTGGTTGTTGACAACAGCGCCACCTAGCGGATCCAATTGTAAATCCAAACTATCCACGGAACTCTCAACCACATAAAAAAATCATAAAAATCGGTCCAGCCATTTTCAAGTTTTTGCGAGACGAGTGGTATGCAATTGATTTATATATATATATACACACACACACACATTATATATATAGACTGACTTTTATATATAGCCTTGTATAATCTAATTGCATGTAATATATAACAATTAATATTTGTTATCACCGTTCATCAGCTTGCGGTAAAAAGGTGGCGCACGTATCGTTCGGATAATTTAATTGAAAGTTATAAAGCAATCAATTTTAATGATTGTATTATCATTCATAATTAAATAATATAACTCTCCCATATTTAAAATGATATTTCCACAATTATTTCTTCTGCGGCAGCAATCCGCCGTGTACCAGTTAGTTTTAAATAAAAATAGCAGCGATATCCAGTATATTCCATTACACTTATAAATAAATTACTTAGTATAAATTGATTTGCTTGCGATTATACAACTTACACTATCTTTTTAATTTAAAATATGCTTTTTGTGTAAAATTTCACTGCTCATAGCGTAGAGTCATCTATCATTAAACTAATTGTTTATTTTTGTTCAAGTTACGTCCTTTAAGTAAAAACCGTATAGGTACATGACCATAACGAACTTTCCCGTAAACCATCACTCCCCTAAACTATCCTGAGGTTCGCCCGCGTAAACCAAGAGTACGAGGAATGAAACTGTATGAATGTACTAATTTCGTGAATGAGGCTTAAAAGTAGGATCGGATCGGTCTAGATCGATTGATCCTTTCTGCCTACCCACAAAGGAAAAAGGTAAACTATAGTAGTAAGTATTATATGTACAAGTCGTTCTCTTAAAAAAATATTTATTACAGTTTACAATATTATTACAAAGTTATAATGCAGTTAATTTTATGTCATTTTATATGGAATAATAACGAAATTTTATTAATCCAAGTGCATTTTATAAGTTAGTCGACTGGAACTCGTCAACTTGTTAAGCATAATTAACTGTAATAGCTTTCCTCTTAACTTCATTATATATACAACGTTTTCAGACAGGGCTTTCATTGGTAGAGGGGGGGACATGACTTGCACATGATACTAATATGACTTTAAATGACCATAAAAATACCACCTTAAATCTAAATACTTTGCAAATGGACCCCTGAATCGAGAAAATGTTGTTCATCATCATCATCATTACAGCCCTTCACACGTCCACTGTTGAACATAGGCCTCCCCCAGGGAATGCCACAAAGCACGGTCCTGAGCCACCTGCATTCATCGATTTTCAGCATATCTTACCAGGTCGTCACTCCATCTAGTGGGGGGCGCCCTACACTTCGCCTGCCGGTACGAAGCTGCCACTCGAGAACCTTTTTTCCCCATCGGTTGTCGATTCTCCGAGCTATATGGCCGGCCCATTGCCACTTCAGCTTACTAATCAGTTTCAAATTTTGAGGTATAACTGACGAGAAGATGAGCCGTAATTTCCCCAACGCTGCCCAACCGAGTTGAATCCGTCTATTGACCTCTTGGTCGAAGTTGGACTTACCTAGTCGGACAAGTTGTCCCAGGTAAACATACTCGTCAACAACTTCGAGCTTAGTGCTCCCAACAACTACCGGCATACGTGTGACATGAACATTAAACATGATCTTTGTTTTGTCCATGTTCATCTTAAGACCTATCCGTTGGGAAACACTATTGAGAACATTGAGCACAGTGCTTAGGTCCTCCAGCGATTTTGCCATAAGGACTATATCGTCGGCAAATCGAAGGTGAGTGATGTACTCACCATTAATATTGATACCGTATCCTTTCCAGTCCAGAAGCTTGATAACATCTTCTAATGCAGCGGTAAAGAGTTTCGGGGATATGACGTCACTCTGTCTTACACCTCTCTGCAATTGGATAAGCCCTACGAACACTCAGCACTTCGATATACCGACAGTCGATTTGGCACCGCTGAAGGGACTGCAGCACCGCCCAAATTTCGACGGAATAAAAGGTTTTCTCATAGTCCACATACGCCAGACTATAGCAAACACCAGGCAATCTATGAGAAAATCCCTCGTTAGAATTGGTTAGATTAGAATTAGATATACATTTTTTAATTGAAAATTTACTATCAGTTTAGTAAAATAGCAGCCTACATAATCCCACAGCTTTGCACAGGTCTCCTTTCATAAATATTGAGTGTGATTTGGATTTGTAAGTGACCGCCGCCACTGTGCCTCAATTTATGTTGCTTTTTTAACTATTCTAAACCAGTGCTTGACTATAGTAGTCAACCACCAACAACCCAATGGACTTCACAAGTCCTCTGAATATTTTTTTAATTCTAAGAACTATAAATATCTTCACTAGCTATGAATGGAAAATTTCTAGGACCGAGTTCAGAAGCTACTAAAATATGTGAAATATATATTTTTTGCCATAAGGACTATATCGTCGGCAAATCGAAGGTGAGTGATGTACTCGCCATTAATATTGATACCGTATCCTTTCCAGTCCAGAAGCTTGATAACATCTTCTAATGCAGCGGTAAAGAGTTTCGGGGATATGACGTCACTCTGTCTTACACCTCTCTGCAATTGGATAAGCCCTACGAACACTCAGCACTTCGATATACCGACAGTCGATTTGGCACCGCTGAAGGGACTGCAGCACCGCCCAAATTTCGACGGAATAAAAGGTTTTCTCATAGTCCACATACGCCAGACATAGTGGCAAATTGTACTCCTCGGACTTCTATAAAATTTGCCGAAGGGTATGTATGTGGTCTATGATGCTAAAGACTTTTCGGATACCGGCTTGTTCGGGAGGCTGGAAGTCGTCATGTCTGCGCGCGAGACGATTCGTAATGACTCGAAAACAGCACGTAGACGCGGCTCAGAAGGGAAATCGGTCTGTAGTTCTTCAAGAGAGCGTTGTCGCCTTTCTTGAAGAACAAGACCACCGCACTTCTGCTCCACGCCTCCGGTGTAATGCCACCATGGAGGACGGAATTAAAGAGCTTCTGAAGGACTTCAAGTACCGGTTTTCTAACCCGCTTTCAGAAGCTCCGCTGTAATTCCATCCTCTCCTGGGGCCTTGCTGTTTTTAAGGTGCTGGAGAGCCGTTCTAATCTCGCTCAGACTGACATCCGGGATATCATCGGAATAGTGTCGTATAAGACTCGCTTTTGGATCGTTACTCACACTTACGTGTGGCTCCAACGATGATGTGTGCAGCTGCCCATAGAACCTCTCAATCTCACTCAAAATCTCAGGTGTCCCGGAAATGACGGTGCCACACTCTGTCTTCATCTTTGACAGTTGGCTTTTTCTAGCAGACAGATCTCTAGCAAAGACTTTGGAGCCCTGGTTCCGCTCGTTCGCTTCTTTAATACGAGCAGTATTAACTTGTATAAGTCCCGCCGCATGCATTTGGAGATCTGTCTGTTCAGTTGCCTGTACGCTGTCAAATCTACTGAAGACTGCAGCTTCATATCCCATCTAACAGCGATGAGATAAAAAGTGTGATCGGAGAGTTTGTGTTCTTCTGCGACAGGTCTTGCAAAACTTAGCTCCGACCGCATGGACAGTTTCCATGAGCTTGTCATTCATATCGCCCACTGCATTGCAATCTTCTAGGCTCTGAAAACGGTTTCGTAGCTCGACCTGAAAGGTTTCGGGAGTTTGGATTAGAGGAAGAGGGGGACGGAGCGTTGACTTCATTAGTCGTGACCTCTCCAACGTAACGTTTAGGTTCAGTGTACCTTTAACCATTCGGTGATCGCTGCCGGTTTTCACCCTCGCGATCACTGAGACATCACTGAACAGTTGTCGTCTGGTCGTCATAATGAAGACAATCTCAATTTTTGTCGAACCGTCGAGGTCCACTTCTTGTGGGGCCGCTTCTGGAAGAAAGATTTAATCGTAAAGAGTCCCTCTTTCTCCATGAAGTCGGCCAGCTGCTGGCCCCTTGGGTTCCGTTGCCCTATTCCGAATTTCCCTACTTTCAGCTCGTCGTTCTCTCTTGTGCCTAGTTTTGCGTTGAAGTCTCCCATTAACACCGTATAGTGGATTTTAGAGGAATGCATGGCTCTAGAGATATCCACATTTCCTCCACCTCCTCATCGGGGTGTACCGAGGTTGGTGCGTAAACCTGTATGACCTTCAGCGAATACAGTTTGGTGATTCTGAGTATAAGGTACGCAACCCTCGTCGACACACTCCCAATCTTTACAACGTTGTTAACGAGAGACTTGTGGACGATAAATCCGATACCTCCTTGGGACAGATGGTCGCCCTCCCGGTGATAGAACAAGTTGCCGGATTCGAGAAGTACCGTGTCCTCCCCCTCTTTTCGGACCTCTGATTATCCTACGACATTCCAGCGCAACTTGTCTATCTCTTCTTTCAGCTCCAGGATCTTCTCGTCAGTCCTCAGGGTGCGTGCGTTATAAGTTGCCAGGTCGAGTCGTCGTAGGTGGCAACCGAATCTCCACCAGAGATTCTTAGCACCCCCTGCCCCGCCGTTACCATGGTCGCCACCGTTGCCAGGAATAGCGGAGCCGCCGGGGACTGGGGGCCGTCTCTTTGTTACTCTCATGGGGGTATATTGTTATAGTTGCCACTCTTGGCGAGCGGGTTGGCAACCGCAGTGTTTTTTATTGTTGTTTGCTATTATCAGAAAGATACTGCTGCCCATCCACTGCCTCAGTTTCCCTCTGTCGCCTCTTACGACACCCACGGGAAGATATGGGGTATTGAGTATTCTTTTCCGCCACTACACGGACAAATGTTGCTATATGGCGGAAAATGTTGTTAACCACCAATAGTTTGAAAGACCTATCCAAAGAAGATGGAATAGTTGGGTTA